AATGTTTGCTACTCATTAATTTTTGTATTAATTTGTGTTTCTACCCTGAAATCCAAGCTAGGTGGGACCTGTATTTTGGAGATCAGTGTTGAATTTTGTTTGTGACTCCTGAGTTTCAGTTCATGGGTCACTTTCCATCATGTGACCCGTCTGCTCGTCTGCCTCCTCTATCATAAAAAAAAGAACAGACCTTGGTGCTAATTTCTCCTATTCCCTGCATCTCCAAATTGTTAAACAGCTGTAGTGATCTCGTCGATGTGCACACTGACTCACTAACTAGGTTCAGAAGTGCTATTTACAAAGTCTTGTAAAAGCGTCTGTGTTTTTGGATCGCTGTAGTTATAGCTTTGTAACTTATATTCAAATGTATTTTTTTTAATATATAAGCCATCATTATGTTCAGTGTTTAAGAATAGGTAAAGGTCATAGTTATTGTTATATGTTACTAATAAGTAGTGCATGATGTGCTTACCTTTAAGAAATTGTTACACTATAGGGTTATAAATCTATTAAATGTTGTATCAGTATATAATTTTTAGTGAGCCGAGTAATAATAATAGAAAAAAAATCATACCTGATACGAAATCGCTCCTAGAGGAACGCCCCAGGTGGCTTCTGCACTTCTGGAAGGAGCTGGGTTGGCTCATCTAGCCAACCTTATCTTGACGTATAAAGGATCGTCCCTGAATAAGTATTCACTTCTATCTCCGAGCTCATATCATATTCAGCCGGTATTACATGTTGTACTTGGTTATTGACCAGGGTTGTCTGTCTATCTAAAGAAACACCTAGAATAGGTACATAAGTTTTATATAGCTGTCTCATAGTTAGTACATAAAAATCCCTATATAATTGAGCAGTCGGCAATCTAAAAGGTTTATAAAGTAACACCTTAAGTACAGCTCTTTGTGCTCGCTCCACCTCAAGGAACTTGATTTTAGAAGCTTCGCCCCAAACTGGAATGCAATAATTGATGACAGACTCACAAAGCAATTCCTAAAACGATTAAAGCAACTACTACTTATAAAAAAAAAAAACAAACTATCTTTAAAATATAGCTTAATGTTCAAAATAAACATATTAATGAATTTGACATAACTTAAACAACTTTTAAATAAATTTACCTTTTTTTGACATCGCTCTGGCTCCGCCCGCATGTATGTATGTCGGTTATCACGGTAAAAAGTAGCTTATTATACTTAGGGCATACTAAAGTTTTCTGGATTCTGATAAATAAGACTAGATATAAGATTTACGATAAATTTATTATTTTTCAAAGTATATTCCATCGCAATTAATCCATTTTTTTGCATGCGCTGAAATTACTGTACAAAGCAGTTGGACAAAGCTCATGGTACGCATTCACCCCCGCTTTAGGGCTACTAAAACGTGTGCCTTTAAGTTTGTCTTTAATTTTTGGAAACAAAAAGAAGTCCCAGGGTACGATGTTTGGGCTGTAAGTCGGATACGTCATCAGTTCAACATTTGATTCCGCTAAGGTAACAATAGCCTATTCAAATAGCGAAATGTGAAGATGCGTTATCGTGGTGAAGGAGGACATTGCTTCGAGGACGCTTTTCGCGAACTTTTTCTAAGACTCTGGGCAAGCAAGTATTGTAACTGTAAGTAACTGGCCAAATCCAGAGACTTTCAGTATGCTTCACGTAATTTAGCTTTCTGTTGATGTAAGAATTCTCAAAATTGGTATAGTGGTTTAGGCGTAAAAGCGTAACAAACAAACTCACTTTCACATTTTTAAAATGAGTAAGGATAAAACAAACACTGTTCTTTCGCAAACTGCCAGAAAATGGCGTTCCAATCATATTTCATTTGAAATCAAGTTGTATATGTAACAATAAACTAACTGACTAAATCATAATAATTCTAATTCAAACTTTTGAATAAGTATTTTAATAATCAAGTTACTTAAAACCATCAAAACAGTGTCTATTGCAACTACATGTTACAAATATTTCTAATAAAATCACTTAAATATAAAATCAACAATTTTGAAAGCTTTATACACCTTCTTTGTAAGCTTGACCTTTATATACCTTCTCTGAGGTGTCTAAACTATCATTCCACTTTGTCGTTACAACTGTAAAAATAGGAACTAACAAGAATAATCTTAATAACTTTTAAAATAATCATAATCATTGACAGTAAAAGTGGGCCATATTACTGTTCTGCTATAGCTTGGTATCGTCGCGTTACAGGTGACGTTTTGAATATAAAACACTAGCTTTTATGCGCTGCTTTGTTTGTGTTAATATCAATTTCGGTTAATAAATTTTTCCTTAATTCTGATCTATTTATGTGTCAAATTTTATCCAGATTCATTCATCAGTTATAGCATGATTGAGTGACACACATATATACACCCACCGTCACAAACTTTCGCGTTTACATTATAGATTTTACTTTTTTTAAAGACAACTCCCGCACTAGGAATCTATTCCTGTGTCATGAAGGACTTTACAAATATCAAACGGACACAAAGAACACCTAGACTCAGGACAACAATTTGTAGATCACACAAAGTAATGTCCCATGTGGGGATCGAACCCACAAGCGTGGAACCCAACCCACTAGGAAGTGGCGAGGTGACCACAAAAAAAAAACATGCCATCCGTGCATGGATTAATGGGACTATTGCCATACGTATTATCAGCATGCATTTGAAAATAACAATGTTTTATAACTTTATCGAGAAAATCAGTGCTAATTAATCTACAGAGACGAAAATAAAAAAATGCTAAATATTTTCTTGAAGGCTGTCGAAGATTTAGAAGCGGCAGCTGACAGTTTAGTGTTCAATAAGAGCGTTAAGGGGCTAACTTTATAGATTGATTGACGAGACGAGTATAGATTGATTGATTTAGAAGTTTGATAACTTTAAATAAATTTTGTTATTTTGGTGTAACTTTAAAACGAGTTTGATACTGAAGTGTCAGACGTGGTTAGGGTAATAAATTATGTTTTTTTTTTCATCATAGACCATGATATCAATCGACAATACAACTCACACTTGCGATTTGCAGACGGCATACTGATTGGCGCAATCTCTGCGTTTTCTGGAAGGAATGCTCAACAGTCTGTACGATTCTTCAAGACGAGTGCGACTTAGGGTTAACATTGGTAAGAACAAGATTATGTATAATAGGCATATATCCCCGAGTCCCGTGGCCGCAAATGACATTACTATTGAGGTTGTGCAAGAATACATCTGCCTTGGAGCTAAACTATCCAATTCGGCCTGCAGAATTCGTCTGAGCTGGGCGGCCAATAGGCGTTTAACCAGTGTGTCCTACACGTAATAACATACGGAACGGAGACGAGGACACTCACCGTTGAACTGGTCCACACGTTTAAAGTCGTACGATAGAGCGAGCGATGCTGGGTATTTCTCTAGTCGATTAAATTCGAAACAAACAAAACGCATCGTCTGCGTGTGCTGGATGTCGCCTAAATAGAGAATTCGCACCGTATTCGTGGTACCCGCGCTATTGCGGACAAGCGCTAGGAGGGGTCCACCGTCGGTGTAACAGCATGCGAGAGGTACCGGGATCGATAATCGGAATCTCCATTACTCCCTCCATAAGTTCAGATCTCGTTCAGACTTTTTGACTGCTCGGGCTGCTGTATTTTTTTTTTTTTAAAGAACTCCCCATTAGGTATACATTCCTGTGTCACAGGGGACTTTATAAACATACATGAAACGGACACAAAGAACACTCAGACTCACGACAACAATTTGTAGATCACACAAAGTGTCGTCCCATGTGGTGTTTGAACCCCAACACTCGGCGTAGTAGGAAGCGGCGAGGCGACTGTTTAAACCACTACGCCATCCTTGCAGTCGAAAATACTTTTTGATTTACAGCAATACTAATCTGCCAAAACTTCTTTATGGACTACGAGTTTTTATTTGAGAACACAAATGCCCATCCACTAATTACACAACTCGTCATTTCAATTACATTGTCAGCTACTTCCAAATACTTAATTCGAGATTACCTTCACATAACTAACTAAATATTTTTTTCCTATTTTTATAGATGATAATGAAGTAAATTATAGATTAAAATTAAATAAACATGCTTTTGCAACTAGCTAAACTAAACAGTAGAGAATAATTTTCTATAAGTTAAAAATGAAAAATAATTTTATAGTATCGTGTAAAGATTTTATTGACAGATATTGGTAAAAGTAAAGTTATTTTATTAAAAAATCTTGAAAAGTACCCCACGCTTTTACAATTTTTCCAACGCTCGACATAGGCCCCTCCTCACTAAAAAGTGTTGATTACTATAATAATAATAATAATAAATATCAAGACCCTACATAATCGCGAGGTATGCAATCTCAGAGAATATTTTCTACATACCGACGTGGGAGTGCATCGCAATGTAGTTGCAGTGGATACCGGCTTCACCCCGCTCGCTCTGGCTAAAGAGAATTGGCGCAGACCTGTAGTACTTGGTGTTAATGATCGCAGGGAAGTATGGAAGGGCAAAGAGCTCCATGGTCGGTTTTATCGGGCCCTAAACGGGTCCGATATAGATTTAAAAGCATCTACGACTTGGCTACGGCATGGTGATCTCTTTGGAGAAACTGAAGGTTTTGTTTGTGCGATTATGGACGAAGTTATCATGACGAATAACTATCGGAAATATATCCTGAAAGATGGTACGGTTGACATCTGTCGGGCATGCCACCGTCCTGGCGAATCAATCAGGCATATTATTTCTGGTTGTTCTCGTCTTGCTAACGGAGAATATTTGCACAGGCACAACCAAGTAGCCAGGATCGTACACCAACAGCTTGCCCTTAAATACCATCTTGTGAATCTAGAGGTGCCATACTATAGGTATGTGCCCGACCCAGTTCTCGAGAATGGTCGGGCCACGTTGTATTGGGATCGATCTATTATCACAGACAGGACTATTGTTGCCAATAAGCCTGATATTGTGTTGATAGATCGATTAGAGCGCCGCGCAATGATTGTTGATATCGCCGTTCCTCATGACGAGAATCTCGTGAAAGTTGAAAAAGAAAAACAAATTAAATATTTGGATTTATCTCACGAGATTGTTGATATGTGGAATGTTGATTCAGTGATCATTGTTCCGATAGTCGTATCTGCTCATGGATTGATAGCCAAGAGCCTCGACCAACACCTTAAGAGGCTTACGTTGGATGGCTGGATCAAGGGTCTGATGCAGAAGGCAGTCCTCCTTGACACGGCTCGTATAGTGAGGAGGTTCCTATCTTTGGAGTCCTAACCACCGGTGTCTTGGTCCCTGTACCCGATGTCGGTGGTCTACTATTTTTTATATTTTTAAATGTATTTTTTTTATAAAGTGTATATTTAAAAATGTAAATAATATGTATATAAAGTAAATAAAGGAAATAATAATAATAATCATTTATTTCAGGTATAAACCCATAGGCAAAAACACAAAATCATAAAATCATAAAATCATGAAATCATAAAATCATAAAATCATAAAATCATAAAATCATAAAATCATAAAATCATAAAATCATAAAATCATAAAATCATAAAATCATAAAATCATAAAATCATAAAATCATAAAATCATAAAATCATAAAATCATAAAATCATAAAATCATAAAATCATAAAATCATAAAATCATAAAATCATAAAATCATAAAATCATAAAATCATAAAATCATAAAATCATAAAATCATAAAATCATAAAATCATAAAATCATAAAATCATAAAATCATAAAATCATAAAATCATAAAATCATAAAATCATAAAATCATAAAATCATAAAATCATAAAATCATAAAATCATAAAATCATAAAATCATAAAATCATAAAATCATAAAATCATAAAGTCATAAAATCATAACATCATAAAAATCGTAAAAATCATAACATCATAAAAATCGTAAAAATCATAAAAATCATAAAAAATACACAATTATAAAGTCGGAATACTAAAATTAGAACAAAAAATAAAATAAAATTATTATCACCAGATTCATTACAATATAAAATAAATCAAAATTAGCAACAAGTACAATAAAATACGTCATTTTACCTTTACAAATCGCATATTCTGTGTCGACAACTATGATAAACCGCCTGGACAACTGAGTTGGCAGTACTTCTGATTCTATTCATAAATGAAGCAGCCCTCTTTCGTAGCACTGCAAAGAAGTCGTCTACCCTGTTCCCGGCGAACATGCCAGATGCACTACACCGCCACGGCAGGTTAAGCATGGCTCTAAAAGCGTTATTATATTGTACTCGTAATGCGTTGTACGTTCTCTGGGTGTAATTCCTCCATAAGCTACAGGTGTAAAAGGACTGACAGTACGCCGCGAACAGGGTGACTTTAACCTCCCTACTGCACCTAGCGAAACGGCGTGCTAACATATTACTCTTAGCGGCAATAGACCTCCTTTGCCTCTCCATGTCATCATCGTCCCTAAGGTTATCCCTTATTACGTGCCCTAGATATTTGAAAGAGGTTACGGTTTTAAGTGGTGTCCCGCCAATAGTAATTACTGGGTTAAAGCTGTTAGTTCTGTCGTGTCTAAAAATCATAACCTCCGTTTTGCCCGCATTATAGGTCAGTCCATGACTTGCAGAGTATTTTTCACAAATGTTTAATAATGTACGCAGACCCCGAACGGACGGGCTCAGCAGAACCATGTCGTCGGCGTAGCTCAAGTTATTGATAGGTTCATTTGTCATGTGACAGCCGCCGTGAAAAAGTTAATGTGGATTTAGTGTTAGTACCACGTTCGTTTTTTGACTGGAATTTTGACTTTTGCCTTGATTCATCATAGTTTTCAATCCGTTTTCTTTTTCTTGTAACTTGCGTAAAACCATCTTCATCTACATTTCCGAATGTGTTTTTTACCGGCGTTTGTTGCTGGTTCTGGCTTCGCAAAGCCTTACTAAAGTTTAAAACGGTGTTCTGATTCTCGGGTATAGCTACCTCCACACTATCAGTTGTTTTAGTATTTCGAATTGAAAAGGTTATTTTTCTGCGCGCGATGATACCCCGTGCTGTTTACCGTCTTTTGTTTTTTCAATTCTCTTATATCTTGTTCCATTTTGTTAACTACGAGTTTTGTTTCATCCTTGAACGTCTGCATCTCATTTCTTATAGTTGCAAGGGTTTTAAGCAAGCTACTGATATCGAGATGATCAAAGGTCACTCCCGGTAGGCGGTTCAAATCGTATGCAACGAACTTCGGCAGTTTTTCGGTTTCTTTTATAATTTTCAAAATATCCAATATATTGCTATGAGATTTCTTGTCCCCCTTTCTTACGATTTTCCTGCATGCCGTAGTTTCACATAAATACGTTTTTGCACTTTCAATTTCTTCCTCACTGAACCAAGAACAACAGATCTGCACTATACTTAATTCGTCCATTACAACACTTTTATTTTGGATGAAGCATAGCAGTTCGTTCGCTATCATATTACACTCACACGGCATTTTTAACTATTTTTATTTTTACATATTTGTATCACACTATAACAAAATGAAATTCGCAGGTAGATATCGGTCGATATGCTACACAGATGTAACTCGTAGGTGCGCGTGCGTTCCGGGTCAACGACCGCGCGAGACTGGAGCTAGCCAGACGGATTGATATAAGGTTTGTTTTAAGTTTTCATTTTCTATGCAGTGCTGTTATCCTGTGTAGTTTGCTTCCTTATTGGGCTCTTACGACATACACAAAATGAATAGTGATAGATAGTAGTATTTTTAGTCCGTCAACACACGGAATATTAAATTTTAAAATATAAATGTGCACTTAAATAAAAAAAGAGTAAAAATATGGAAATTAATTTTTTACATTAAATTTTGAAATGTAAGTTTAAATGTGACACTAAAACAAATAACAAACATTTTTTTGTCTATGTCTTAATGTCATCAATAATATAGTAATTAAATATATACATAAACAGATTTGTACAAAATACAAATAAAATGCGTTTCCGTCTGCAAACATTTACACGAACACAAAACAATTACACTTTAAGCGGCTAATGAAGCATCACATTTTCATTCTCATTTTAAATAAACACGTTGCAATCAACAGTATTGCGTTCTTTTTGGTATATAATAATAATAATAATAATAATAATATATCTCACACATTTCACACACGGCCGTCTGATCCCAAACTAGGCAGAGCCTGTACTATGGTAACCAGACTGCTGATAAACATACTTATATATTTTTTTTAAATACATACATATTATAGATAAATTACACCCAGACATAGAACAAATGACCGTGCTCATCACACAATATTTGTCCTGGGTGGGAATCGAACCTACGACCTCTGGTTTAGCAGTCAGGGCCACTAACCACTAGACCAACAGGCCTGTCATATGTACAGCGATCGCACCGTTAGTGGACCACTTTGAGTGTATATAAACATCTCAAGTATCCTTTTTCTTAGTGAAGTACGTTTAGATGGTACGTCGAGCTGTATTTCAGTAGATAAATGCACGCTTCAAATAAGGACGAGTATTTAAAAGTATTTAACAATTTTTACTGAATGCATCTAAAATCTACACGGATTTTAAACAGAAATACTATTTTTTAAATATTTTGTCCTTTTATTTCTTTTTTTTTACTGGGAGTTAAATGATACTATAAGGAGTTTTCTAGGATTAGGAATTAGAATTAACTAGAATAAGGTCCGCACAATAAAACATATTTACGTTGACGGCTTCAGACTTTGAATATTTGCTATAAATATGAATATTTTGCTATACAAGGTTTTAAGGATGACAACTCTATTTGAGGCCTGTGAAGAAAAAAGTATGTCATACTTAGCTATCTTCTAATAAAAGTCGCTGAATATTAGTTCGTTCTTGAAATCTCGGAAATATGTCTGTTTTTATTCTAGAAAAATACTTTTCTCAAGGTACAAAAAAGTTTAGTTGTAACAAAACTAGTTTTAAAATAAAGACATTCGTGACCACTTACATCGACATACGAGTACATTTACAAATTCAAATTACTTTATTGCAATTTGCAAGCCACGACTAACATTATCTTGTCACGGATGGCGTAGCTGATCACCTGCCGCTTCCTACTGCGCTGAGTGTTGTGAGTTCGATCCCCACATAGGACAACTTTGTATGATCCATTGATTGTTGTTCTGTGTCTTACTGTTATTTGTGTCCATTTTTTATATATCTGTAAAGCGCGACATAGAATTTTTTCCCACTGCTAGAATTTTCCTTTTAAAAAAAGAATATTAAAATAGTTGAATCCACCTTACTGAAAATTAAATTTACTAGATTAAAAGCTGCAGTGATTTGACAGACCGTTTAATAGTATGAAAGGAGATGCACGTAGCTCGGGCATTAATTAACGTAATGGCTACACACTTTCATGCATATAAAATTACTAATACATGCACATTTCAGACACACAGTCATATGCTCACACACACACGCTCATATGTTTGCTGTATTCGTCGCAGATAATAAAGATGTCATTCTGAATGATATATATTTGGGACCGAAGAAGTACTTGGATTGTGATACATGTTCTCACAATTCAAGATGTTTTCACATGTTAGCTTTTCGTAGACGTTTGCTACGAATTGTGTAGAAATGTGCCACGGAGTGCTACGTAAAGATATAAAAATATATATTTTTGTAAGTAAGCGTAGCAAAAAAACAAACTCACTGCCACATTTAATATAAAATGTATAAGTACCTTATACGAGAATGTTAACGAAATAAGTTAAATATAATTTTGAAAATTTAACGACGTATGATAAGGCCTGCGCAGCCTGTTACATGCTTACATGCAATGCAGTTATCGTACATGACGGATTCATGACTGTTAACTATACATAATTAGATAAATCTTAACGCGAAAGTTTAAAATCACAAAGTACATAATACAACAGTTAAATTTTGCCAACAATTTCATTCAAATAACAAATGATTTCAGAATTGTTAGACACGCATTACATTACAATAAGTTAGACATTAACAAATTATAATTTGTAAGACCTCAGTTTAATCTAGTTTTAGTTAGTGTATAAGGCGGTGACCTAGAACCTCCCGACACAAATTAAACAGAACCATTAATACTAACCTTATTTTTATTCTTTCAAAAACAACGTCCGCATTATTAATATAACCTGTGTCGCGGGGGACTTCACAAACACACATGAAACGAATACAAATAACACCCAGACTCAGAACAACAATTTGTGAATCACACAAAGTATCGTCCAATGTGAGGATCG